CCTGTTCCTAAGAAAAAGCTAGAAAAGAGGCTGGCTAAGTCCCTAGCAGCTGTAAATAGCATGCTCTGCAATACTGGAATGCAACTGTTATAAAGCTAAGAGAAAAATAAGGAAACAGTAACTGGTTACGAATTCTTCAAATGCACCTCAGCATAGACAACTGGGTGGCCCAATCTTTTGTGAGGATGGTTTTGTCAGGTGAATGGAGAGCCTCTAACATGCTTTCCACACACAAAGGTGGCAGCCTTTCATTTTGCTTTTCCTTCCCTTACACTACATTGCTCTAGTTTTTCTAAAATTCTCATAATCCTCTAGTGGTATTTACTGAATTTATTCTCTTATTTAGATTTGTAAGTAACTATAAAACTAACATACACAAAAAAAGAGAAAGGCTCCTTGCATGGAATACAGAGAGCAGAGTTATGTAATGGATGCTCATTAGCAACCAGTTATACAGATAGATTCAAAAATGTAAATAAAAACCAAGATTAAAACACAAAACTGAGTTTGACCAATTACTATGTGACCCTTGCAACAGAAACAGATAAGAAACCAACAGTGAAACATATTACATAATTTAGCCATGGGAAAAACAGCTGTAGAGCAGCCCATGGAAGAAGCACATTAGTATAGCACAATGTTAGTACAAAACATTTCCAAAATGAATCTTGATGCTTGATATGCAAATGCTGTCAACACAATTCTTTAGACTTAGGATCACACAGGCCAAAAAACTGATTTGTTTTAATGGCAAAAAAGGGGACACCAGTTGTTATGCACAATACCACAGAAGCACTGGGTTTAAAGTCATATATATGTTTAAACACATTTTTTTTCTATTGCCCAACAGGCTCTGAGGCAGTGTTGAGACAAAAGACTAAACCTCACACTCAGTAAAACAGAAATGTCAAACCAGGATCAAGGACAGCAGCATAAGAGAGAGGTTAAGAGAGCAGGTTCTAGTGTCACAAAGACCTAAGTTAAAACCCCAAGGCACAAATTACTGTGCAACCTTGAACAAATCATTTCACCCGAGTCAATTTCCTCATTTGTAAAATGGAGATAATACTTCATTCAGCCATTGTGAGATTTAAACAAGGTGATTCATGTAAAGCCCTAGCCTCTATACCTAGCATAGAATACACAGGTAAGTAGTAATCATCACCATCATCATAAGCAAACTGTAAAATTAGCACAATTACTATCTCAAATAAAACCAAGAGTTTCCTGGTAGCCAGAGGAAAAAAGACAATCGCAGTTCGAATCCAGCCTGGGCAACATAGTGAGACCTTGTCTCTTGTGGGAAAAAAAGGAAGAAGAAAGAAGACATTCACATATACTAATATAAATGTGGCTTTTCTTCCCACATTACAGAACATTCTGTTTCCTCCTCCCTAATAAAGAATAACTCAGACTAATTCTGTACAACTATATACAGGAAAGTCTTCAATATAGAACTTCTTAATTAGGAAGGACAATTTTGTTTCTTTTTTCTTTTTTTTTTTAAGACAGGGTCTTTGTCCCCAAGGCTGGAGTGCACCATCTCAGCTCATTGCAATCTCCGCCTCCCAGGCTCAAGGGATCCTCACAGGCTCAAGGAATCCTCCCACCTCAGGCCTCCCGAGGAGCTAGGACCACAGGTACACACCACCACGCCCTGCTAATTTTTGTATTTGCTTTAAGGACGGGGTTTCACCAGGTTGCCCAGGCTAGTCTCGAACTCTTGGGCTCAAGTCATCTGCCCACCTTGGCCTCCTAAAGTGCTGGGATTACAGGCATGAGCCACCATGCCTGGTCAAAAGGATAATTTTCAATGAGATCTGGATTTATGATCTAACTGGTTTGGGGAGGTACAGTTGGTATTGTGGGGGGTGTTTTGTTTTTTTGTTTGTTTGTTTGTAAATGAGGAATTTAGGAGAGAGGTAGAGAAGAAAAAGTCTTCAAACCATTCAACACACCATTATTCAGTAGAGAAAAACAATAGAAGGTTGATTGTTAACATTATGTCATAATTGATTTAGAAAATGAACCCACGAAAATCAGGTAAAATGTTTTAACTCAGACATAAAGGCCGGGCGCGGTGGCTCAAGCCTGTAATCCCAGCACTTTGGGAGGCTGAGACGGGCGGATCACGAGGTCAGGAGATCGAGACCATCTTGGCTAACACGGTGAAACCCCGTCTCTACTAAAAAATACAAAAAACTAGCCGGGCGAGGTGGCGGGCGCCTGTAGTCCTAGCTACTCAGGAGGCTGAGGCAGGAGAATGGTGTAAACCCGGGAGGCAGAGCTTGCAGTGAGCTGAGATCCGGCCACTGCACTCCAGCCTGGGCGACAGAGCAAGACTCCGTCTCAAAAAAAAAAAAAAACTCAGACATAAAAAGAGAACCAATATAACCGACAGTAAGGTTAAAGTAACCAAACTAATTTAAAAAAAAAAAAAAATCCAAGAAAGGGAAGGTGAAAAAAATCAATTATTCCCATAGTTTAAGTAACAAATATCCATTCTGTCCTTTTAAGATCATGGCTTAAATTTCCCATTTGCAACCAACTATCTTTGTCTGCTCTTCCGAATGTGCCACTAGCTTGAATGTATGCCTTTAACTTGGACTATCTTCTTAACCAAATACATCATTCTGGTTAAAGACAAAAATAAAATCTTGTACATTATTATTTTTCTAGAATTCATGGGGAAATATTAGTAATTCCATTATTTAAAGAATACATTTCAAAAAAATACTAAGTGGTAATTCTGAAGGAAAAAGAGCTCCTCAAGAAAATAAATCCATCAAGAAAAATTGTTCAAGGTCAATCAAGCACAAATTTCAAAATAATACAAATTTTGAAATTTTGAGTAGGGGCAGGATTAAGGAGCTGTGAGGTGAAAAATGAAATTCTCAAGGTAAAAAGATACAGAAGTGAAGAAAAGACTTCAGCAAGAAGTACAAACTAGTGTCATCAATTCATGAGTAAATGTGCAAAATTCTAAGTAATAAAAAACTCAAGCAATCACTCACCTGTATCAATATTGGGAAATTTAGCAATAGAAAGACATTTAGGGGAATTTCCAAACATTCCAACGTATCTTTCTGTATTACAGATATTACTGCAAAATGAAAGAAGTTAGATGCTCTAATTAACAACTTAATGGTGAAAGAATGACACCCCCAAAAGAAGCTATGTCACCTAGAGATACTGGACATTTTCTTTTTACTATTTAAGAAACCAGAACCTCCTGCTTTTAAATGCAAATTTACCAATCTTCAAAACACATTCTGCTCTTTTCCTTTGTATAAAAATTACTGCAATGTGGCCGGGCGTGGTGGCTCACGCCTGTAATCCCAACACTTTGGGAGACCGAGGCAGGTGGATCACGAGGTCAGGAGATCGAGACCATCCTGGCTAACATGGTGAAACCCCGTCTCTACTAAAAATATAAAAAATTAGCCAGGCATGGTGGCAAGCGCCTGTAGTCTCAGTTACTTGGGAGGCTGAGGCAGGAGAATGGTGTGAACCTGGGAGGCGGAGCTTGCAGTGAGTGGAGATCGTGCCACCGCATTCTAGCCTGGGCGACGGAGCAAGACTCCGTCTCAAAAAAAAAAAATTACTACAATGAGATCCTGTTCTAAAGAGGGCATCATTCAACCAGAAAAATGGAATTAGGACAACCATATGCTCTTTGAGTATGTTCAGATCATCATATCCAGTGAGCTGTCACTAGGTACATATCACCTTCTTCAGAGGAGAGACTACTACCAGTGATCAAAATTCTATTTGAAGAAGGAAAACTTGGTTTTGAGGACTATCAGGTCACAAAAGGTTACATACACATTTCAATACCCGCACATGCACTAGCATCATAATAATTCAAAAACTCAGCATCCCTTGGTTTTCAAATAACACTATTTGAAATAGTGGAAACATTTTACTGGAAACATTCAGAACTTCAATAATAATAGTACGAGTTGCTATTTACCTGTTCATTATATGGTCAAACGAACAAATACCACAATGCAAGAAATGATGTGCTGTATAATTTCTCACCTTGGAACAGTGAGAGTTGACGGAGACATACTTCAGTTTAATGTATCGGATGACCAAGGTGGAAAAAAGAACACTTTAAACTGAAAGAGTCAAGAAATACATAAGCCCCAATAGAGGGATTCATCCCACTGTTAAAGGTTCAAGCTTTCTGCCAAAATCACACTTGGTTTGGGCAACTGTAACTGTTGTCAGATAAACGTAAACAAATAGTGAAGAAGGCTACGGGACATACAGCCTCTTCACAAAAGGCTGGCTAACCGCTAGTCTTTCCAAGTTACATATTAATAATTTTAATTTAAAACAACAACAACAACAACAACACTTTTCTAGCTAAGAGCAGTCACATCGAAAATGGGTGATTTTTTTGGCGATACTTAGTTTACCCCACCCCTTACCCTCAAAGGCAGACCTCATCTTCCCGTAAGTTGCCAGGCAAGCAGGAACAGAAGCTATAGAAAATGCACTTCGATCTTTGAAAGGCCAGTGTGGATGTTTAAGGAGAAGGAAAACGACTGCACTGAGTTTACAAAAGCTATTTACATGTTTTCCAAATGCCTGTGATTAAAGTCAACCAAATGGCATGGCATCAGCCAGCCCCTACCTTCACCTACCCACTGAGAACCCAGACAATGAAGGCGGCAGACCCCTCAAGCACAGACGCCCCACACACGGAACCAAAAAAAAAAAAAAAGTGTCATGCACAGAAATTACACAGCCTGCTTTTTGATAATGGTAAAAAGTAAGTGATGGCAGTCTTGTGCTTTAAAATAACCTAGTAGCACTTACTAGTTCAATCCATCCCCAAATCCACGCCACCCTTTCAACTCTGCAATTAAGAGAGAGAAGGAGAAATCCCGGTCAACTCGCCTTGGGGGGTTGGTCTGAGGGTAGAGGGCTCAAGTAGGGAAGAGGATGGAGAGAGAAAGAGCAAGCCAATGAAAGAGACCAAAATTTCCCACCTTTCTTAAATTCTTCCAGCATAGCGTCCAACTTGGTGTCATTGAAAACAAAGTGCAAGGGGTGGTTATAAAATTTGGTGATGGTTTTCAGGGGAGTACAGTCATCTGGATCCACGAAGGCCAAGTCTTTGACGAACAGCAGGTCCACGATATTGGAGCGCTCCCCTTCAAACACTGGAATGCGGGTGTAGCCGCTCTCCATGATCTCAGACATGGTGTTGAAGTCCAGGATGGCTTCGCCAGTGATCATGAAGCAGTCCCGGAGTGGGGTCATCACGTCCTCCACCGTCTTGGTGCGGAGCTCCAGCGCCCCTTGGATGATGTTCAGTTCCTCCTTAACGAGGTCGTTGTAGGGGTCGGTGACCCGGAGCATCTCCAGCAGTTTTTCCCGGTTATAGACGGTGCCTATCTCCTGGCCTAGGACGCAGTCCAGCAGCTTGCTGACCGGGTAGGAAGCGGGGAAGGTCATCATCATGAAAAACTTGGTGAGGAAGATGGTGTTGGCCCCCACAGCCAGGCCGTGGCGGGAGCAGATAGCCTGGGGCACTATCTCCCCGAAGATGACGATGCCGATGGTGGAGACCACCACGGCCACGAGGCCCGAGCCGGCGATGTCGTCGAGCAGGATGGTGAGCGTGGTGTTGACCAGCACGTTGCCCAGCAGCAGTGAGCACAGCAGGTAGTTGCCCTGCCTGCGCACCGGCTCGATGCGCTTGGCGTAATTCTTCTCCTTCTCCGTGCCGCAGTTCTGCACGATGCGCAGCTCCATCGGGTCCAGGGCCATGAGCCCCAGGTTGAGGCCACTGAACATGCCCGACAGGCACAGCAGCAGCGAAATGAAGATCACCTGCAGCCAGAAGGGCAGCAGGAACTTCTTCTCTTCGCCTACGATCATCTTGGTGTCCTCGCCGTCGTGGTAAATCCAGGTGGTCTCGGCCCACGGGGGTGGCGGGAGCCCGGCCACCCCCGAGCCGCCCTTGCCCCCGACGGCGCCACCCGCGGATCCCGAGCCGCCGGCACCCAGGGCGGGCGTGGAGAGCGACGTGCACAGGTAATAGGACTTGCTCTTCTCCATCTTGCGTAGCGGTTTGATCTCGATCTCGATGATGCCCGAGGTGCGGCGGTTGAGAATGATGTGGGGCAAGATGATGATGTCTGAGGTGCGGATGCCGCAGCGCTGGGGGCCGCTGTCCGGCTCCGGCGGCGCGGGGCCCCCCAGCCCGCGCTCCCCCGGGCTGTGGCGCCGCCGCTCGTGTTCGGTGAAGGCGATGCGGGACCACGTCTCGTTGTTGATGTTCTGCCCGTACACCCGCAGCTTGACCCGGGTCCGTTCGCTCACCCGCAGCGCCCCCCCTTCCATGAACGACACGTCGTTCGTGTCCTCCAGCCGCAGCCCGATGATCACCGTCTCCTCGTTCTCGCCCACCGCTGCGCAGCCGCCCGCGCCGCAGCAGCAGCTCAGCAGGAGCAGCGGCAGCAGCCGCCCCGCAGCCGCCTGCAGGACCCCCCGGCCGCGGGCGCTGAGACTGCGGCGCGCCGCCATCTTCCAAGTGGGCAGTGCGGCGGCTGCCTGCCTGCCCGCCATCTTTACTTTGGGTTCACAAGCGCCACAGCCAATCATAGGGTGGCTGCTCCAGCTGCGGCTTCATCCTTTCCACCCGGCGGCGCGAGCGCAGGTACCTGCCCCTGGGCGAGACTGCAACTGAGCGTCCGCGGCCAGTGCTCGGCAGTTCGCCTCCCTGACTGACACTGACTCGACCTCGGCCAGCTGAGGAACCCCGAGGCTCGCGGGAGGGGACAGAGGGAGGGAGAGGAGCGCCGGCTGCTCCCGCGAGAGGCAGGCCCACCGGCCAATCACAAGCGGGCGCCCGCCCTCCCAGCCAGGGGGCTGGAATGGGGGCGTGACCGTGTGCCGTTCTGCGAACCAATGGCAAGGTAAATGGGTGGGGCGATGAGAGCCACCGTCCCCCTCTGCACGCCAAGTTTCCAACTGAAAGGCGCGTGACTCTTGTGTATGTGCGAGGGGAGGGGGCGTGGCCAGCTGGGACTCGAGAGCCAGTCAAAGATGAGAGTTGTAGGAAAGGGGCGTGGCCTCCGTCCTGCTCCCAATGGGAAGGAGCCGTCCCCGGGGCCCGCGCTCCCCGGGGGACCCTGTAGTAGATCCGGGAGCCTGGACCGGCCGGGTTTGGACTAAAGCCCTGCGGCTCAAGGCGGCAGGTTCCCGATGCACTGGCTTGCTGGCTCTGCAGTTGTCAGTTCGTGGGCAGAAAGCCGCAGCGCCCTCCTGCCCCAGAGGCCCGAGAAGCCAACTAGAGGCGGCTTGGGATGCACACAGCCTAAAAAGCCGGGGCACCGGCCGCTGTCACCAACTCTACGTGCGCGGCGCTCCGCTGGGGTAAGCGGCGTCGGTGGCCCCGGCACAGCTGCAGACCAGCAGTCCTCGCGCCTCAAGACTCCTAGGATACGCGATCTCTGCGGCTCGCGATCACATGGCGCCACCTGCGGGCCGCACGAGCGCCCTGCAACGCTTTCCAGGTCCGCGGCATACCCCGAAAGGTGTACAGAAAGTTACGGATGGCTCGGTCAGAGGGACAGTTCCCCAAATTTGGTAGTCATAGAACCCCTACATATTATTACTAAAAGTGTATACTTCCTAGACCCTTTCCCATATTTACAGAGTGGGAAGGGCCCCGAATCTGTATTCCCAACAGGAACCCAGGCAAGTTAAGGAAATGGGAGGGTGGCAAGCATCCTATCCTAAACAGACCCACAGAGGCTCATTCTTAATCACACTGGCCAAACTCTGCTAGGGTCATAGGTCACTCAAGAGCAAAAAGTTCTGGAAACCTAGCTCCCCAGTACTCCCAACGTCACCTGGAGGTGACGAGGTAGCAAAGTAGCTGTCAAATTGATCTTTTCCTTGAAACTTAAAACATTAAAAATGTTTAATGTTTCTCTACCTCTTTTGTATTCTACAAGCACATTCCGGCCGCCCCCCCCCCCCCCGCTTTTATAAATGCGTCAAACGTCTCTGATTAATTTCTGGTATGAGTAATTTCTGGAATTATTGCAGTGGCCTCCTAACTGATCTTCCCTCTTCGACACCTGCTCCTTTCCCTTCTTAACCCAGCAGCAAGTGATCTTGTCCATGAGATTCTGTATCTCCCTTGGCTGAAACGCCTCCACTGGCTTCCCATCTCATCCTAGAAAAAGCCAATGTACCTACATCATCCTAGTAGGCTCAAAGGTCTGCTACCTCTCGTTACTTCTCGGACCTCATCACCTGCTGTTCTCCTAGTGGAAGGAGACAGGTAATAAGCCAAATTAATTTCTCTCCAAGCTGTTTCTCCATCGCTCCAGGGATTTTCCCCTGCGAGACTTTGCACTTGCTGTTTGTTTCCTGGGCTTAGGACTCTCTTCCCCCAGATGTCAGCATCGCCTTTTTCACCTCCTTTAGTGCTTTGCTCAAAAGCCGTCTGATTTTAAACTTGTGGAAAACACTCCCTCTATGCCGCATCTACTTTATTTTTCTTCAAAGCAAAGATCGCTTTCTAATACACTATGTAAATTATTGATTTGGTTTGTTATCTGTCTCCTTCCACTAGAACTTAAGCTCCCTGAGGGCAGAAAGTGTGTCTGTTTGTTCACTGCTGTATCACAAGGGCCTAGAATAGTAGATATATAGATATAGATATGTCATATACATATGTATTATATTTATATATATATATATATTTTTTTTTTTTTTTTTTTTTGAGAGACAGAGTGTCACTCTGTCATCCAGGCTGGAGTGCAGTGGCGCGATCTCAGTTAACTGCAACCTCCGCCTCCTAGGTTCAAGGGATTCTCTCCTGCCTCAGCTTCCCTAGTAGCTAGGACTACAGGCATGCACCACTATGCCCAGCTAATTTTTGTATTTTCAGTAGAGACGGGGTTTCACTCTATATTGGCTAGGCTGGTCTCAAACTCCTGGCCTCAGGTGATCCACCCACTTGGGCCTCCCAAAGTGCTGGGATTACAGGCGTGAGCCACCATGCCTGGCCCTAGATATTCTTTATTCTTTTTTAAAAAACAAAAAACAAGGTCACACTCTGTCATCCAGGCTGGAGTACAGTGGCACAGTCATGGCTCACTGCAGTCTCCACTTCCTGGGCTCAGCCTCCCAAGTAGCTGGGACTACCAGCACACGCCACCACATCTGCCTAATTTTCTTTTAATTTTTAGTAGAGACAGGGTTTTGCCATGTTTCTAGGCTGGTCTCAAACTTCTTGCCTCAAGAGATCCTCCTTCCTTGGCCTCCCAAAGTGCTGGGATTACATGTATGAGCCACCATGCCCAGCCAATGATAGATATTCAAAACAATATATGTAGAAGGTTAAATAAGTGAAAGTATTTATTCTGATTATTTTAAACAATGTCCTGAAACTAGTTTCCAGCCCTTCCATTTATGATGCTGCTTCCCCTACCCCAAGTCTCATACTGCTATATTTGAAAAGTAAGTTCAGATGAAGAAAACCACCTACAGGCTTGGCATGCATTTATAAGAATGGCATTATGGAAGTTTCGAAGGAAAAAAAATTATTTTTAAGAATATTTGGCAAAGGTTAAGGACAGACATGATCCTTCTAACTTAGTGGATTGAAAATGAAACCATTTTAACTTCATAAAAAGTGGAAATATTATAAATGTTTTTAAGGGAGCTAAGAGAGAAGACAGGCTCTCAAATGCTGAAAGTACACGTGTGGAATAGGAGTGAAGTGTGGGGAGGAGGAGCTTGCCAACCCTACAGACATCTCCTGTGCATTTCAGAGAAAGCTACAACAGGAAAATGTGACATTCAGCAATTTCGAAGCAAGTTAGAAATTCAGGACTTCATAGAAGAAAAAGGTCAGAAAGGACACCCAGACAACTTACAATATTTAAAAAAAAAACAAAACTCAAATTCACACAAAGGGTTGCTGAATGATCCTGGGTGGTTCTTGGGGGGTTTACTCTTCATGTATACTCAAGACACACAGAGCAATCTAGATGCCTAAGCCAAGTAATTGTTCCTTAGCAAGAGGGATCTTCCTTCAAGATTGAAGGCTGTTTGGCTTCTGGAGTTTCTCTCTCTCTCTCTTTTTTTTTTTTTTTTTTTTTTTGAGACAGAGTTTCACTCTTGTCGCCCAGGCTACAGTGCAGTGCAGTGCAGTGGCATGATCTCGGCTCACTGCAACCTCTGCCTCCCAGGTTCAAGCAATTCTCCTGCCTCAGCCTCCCACATAGCTGGGATTACAGGCACCCGCCACCACACCTGGCTAATTTTTTGTATTTTTAGTAGAGACAGGGTTTTGCCATGTTGGGCAGGCGGGTCTCGAACTCCTAACCTCAGGTGATCCACCTGCCTCAGCTTCCCAAAGTGCTGGGATTACAGGTGTGAGCCACCGTGCCCAGCTGTTACCCTCTCTTTAGCGAGGACCTGCTATAGAGCAGGCTTATGGTGACTTCCAGGGGCTTCCCAGCTCGTCCATTTGTTTAAATGGAGGGCACAGTCAACACCTGCCTCTAGGGATCTCTTCTGAAATCTGGAAGAAAAACAAAAATGAGACTCTTGAATTATGATATTTCACCTCCATAAAGGGGGACAAAAGGCCCAACATTGCTAAATGGTTGCTGCTGCTGCCCAATCCTATTTAAGTTCTGACGGTCTGACCTTGGGCAAGTCATTTAGATAAAGCCAGAACCACATACCTTCCCTAACTAACCCTACCTTTCCAGAATCCTTCACTAGATACTAAAAGGGAAGGGTGACTTCAATTTTCTCACCTGCAAAAGATAAGCTCCCAAGTCTCCAGGTTCAGGGATTTGGAAGGCATTGCGTCCAGACCTAAAAGTCTTTTAAAGTTTGGTGAGTTTGATTTTCTTAAAGATGGCAAGTAAAACACTAAATGTCATTCTACACATTTTGTTGCTCAACATAAAGCTGATTTTATAGAGAAGCTTTTATTTTTTCCAAAAATTGCCTACTTATACAAAGTATTCGTATTTATTGCTTCAACGGTATCATTTCTTTTTTCTTTTTAGGGAACAGGGTCTCACTCTGTTGCCCAGGCTGGAGTGCAGTGGCACAATCATAGCTCACTGGAGCCTCAAACTCTTGGGCTCAAACTCAAGCAATCTTCCTTCCTCAGCCTCCTGACTAGCTGAAGCTATAGGCACAAGCTAATGCATCAGGCTCCAACAACGACATTTTAATCACACCAAAACACAAGATCTTGGCTGGCCATGGTGGCTCATGCCTGTAATCCCACAACTTTAGGAGGCCGAGGCAGGAGGATAACTTGAGTCCAGGAGTTCAAGACCAGCCTGGGCAACATAGTAAGACACTGTCTACCAAAAATAAAATATCAGCTGGGCATGGTGGCATGTTCCTGTAGTCCCAACTACTCAGGAGGCTGAAGTGGGAGGATCACTTGAGCCCAGGTGTTCAAGGCTACAGTGAGCCATGATCGTGCCGCTGCACTCCAGCCTGGGTGACAGAGTAAGACCCTATCTCAAAAAAAAAAAAAAAAAAAGGTTAGGCATGATAGTTCACACCTGTAATCCCAGCACTTTGCAAAGCTGAGGCAGGCAGATCACCAGAGGTCAGGAGTTCAAGAACAGTCTGGCCAACATGGTGAAAACCCGTCTCTACTAAAAATTACCCAGGTATGGTGGTAGGTGCCTGTAATCCCAGCTACTCGGGAGGCTGAGGCAGGAGAATCACTTGAACTTGGGAGGCGGAGATTGCAGTGAGCCGAGATGGCACCACTGCACTCCAGCCTGGGTGA